TTTCATTATATTTTGACAAAATGCAATTTTTGTTAATATTTTAGTCAAAACACAATATTTGCCTATTTCATCCAATTTTTGGACTTAATCCTCATTTCGATGTGATAGGTCACATTTGTCCTCATTTTGGGATTTAACAATCAGTTTGATGTAATGGTCACATTTATGCTCAGGCTGGAACATTTTAAATACRATTAAGAAATTTAGAAAAACAAACCTTGAAATAAATATTTGAATGGGTCAAAGAGTCAAGATTGAATATAGTTCCAGCAGGTCTGAACTGATGTTAGAGAATAAAATAATCCTCTCCATCCTCTCCTGACAGCATCCTAACAAGCTTTGTCATGTTTCTATTTGRCAGCTAACTGACACGACAGCTTTGTCATGTGGGGAGCAAACAGCCGAGTCATGCAATCTCACCCCCATCCAATTTAAAGAAAACACTGTTTGTCTCCTGCTTCACTTGAAGCAGCAGTTAGTGAGGGCCCAGGTGGCAGATACTGGATGTCTATAAAACCTGATCTAAAACCAAAACATCAGGTGAGTCACTCCTCACACCYGCTGAGAGGCATTCACACAGGGAGAGCTGATTGGAGAGTGAATGCAGCTGTGGTGGGAACAGATTAATGACAGGGGGAATTACAGGTGACTGAGATTATCTAACTGGAAACAAGTTAACTGAAACATTCTGAAAAATTAACAAAATATATTAAAAACAACTTTATGCTTCAGTCTGTGAGGCTGRTTAAAAGTTTTATTTCTAATTATATTTTATTATCTGTGTAGCAGTAAATATACCATCATATCAATCAGTCACATGTTTCCCAYGAGCAGCACCGCTTCTATGAATAAATGATCTGTTAATCATAGGTTTTATAAACCCTGGGTTTAGTATTCAGGTAAATCTCAGTTGGTCAGCAATGAAAATGAAAAAAAAAGTTAAACCAGAAGTGAAAAAAAAAAACTTTTAATTTTAGATATTCCAATTAATTTTCTATTTATTTTATTATTGAAGGATTGAGAGTTTGATCTGAGCTGACTCAGCATATGTATTTCTAACTTAGTGGTCAGTTTTACTGTAAAACCAGTAGAAACCTTTTAATTCAGACATGTAACAACAGAAACTCAGTTGTTTTAATCTGCTGATGATATGATGGAGACACTGAAGAGCCGTCTCCGTTTATCTGAACAAAGCAGATGAACTGAATACAAATAAATATTTAAACAAAGAGTATTTTTCAGGAATCCACTAATAAATGATTGTTTATGCAGAATGCATGGCTGCTCCAGTTCAAAATGAGGAAAATAAAGTCAGGTTCTGACATTGAAAAAGTTTAGTTGCTCATTAATTTCCATATAAGCTTCAGAGTAAACAGGTTTGACTTTGGGTTTTATCAGGTGTGTTGGGGCTGTTGGGGGTGAGTCAGAATGATCATTTGATTCTTTACAGACCAAACTATGCAAAAAGAAAAAACAGAAAGTAAGCACATAATGGTGAAATAAATCAAAGTAAAACTATGGTCAGAGAGGCTTTGTTTCAGGTTTATGAATAAAATGGAACACTTGTGTGCAGGGGCGAAAATCCCATCTC